CTTGCTACACTGCTGGCCAACCAGGTCTCCACCCGGGTTCACAGGAGTCTATTGAACATTGTAGGGCTTAGCTTGAAGCTTCATTGCTGTTTTTCCCTCCCTTTCCCTTATCGGGGACAAGCGTGGTCACCAATCAGAGTGTGTATTCCCATTGAGTCTTAGTCCTGGAAGGGGATTTGTACTGAGGGGACCCGACCACTTGCCTTGATGTCTCCTGGGCAAGCAATTTGCTTGTTCTTGTAGTAACAGTTGGTCTGCCTCTATTGTTTTGTATTTTTCCTGGTGGTATTTCTTTCAAGAAGAATCTTCTGGTCTTCTAGATGCTCCAAGCTGGTCTGCTTATCCCTTTCAAGTAGAAATTTCCCATCTCTGAAGATCTGGATGTGATTCAGGCTTCCATCTATAGTCTTACGTAATGCAGAGGCTCCGCAAGAAGCTTCCTTCACTGGGCATGTTGTAGCCCATTTTAGGTATTCCAATCAGTTATACGTAGAAGACGGACTTACAAGCTTTATATGGTGATATTTCTGGCTATTCTTTTCTCTCCCCCTCCAGTGTATATTTTATAACAGAATGCAAGGAAAATCAAGATTGAAAAGACAGCCAAGCATCTTAACATTATTTTCCCCTTCCCCCCATTCCAACCATGTCTCAATCTCTGTATCCCAGAGCCCTGTTGTTCCAAGGTTGTGCATACATTGCTATTTACCTCTGTCCCACTTAATCCATGCAAACCAGCCTAATTGTTCTCCCATCTGCTTTGTTCTTCCATTCTCCTCTTCCTTCTTGTATATTCCTCCCCTCTCCAGCACCCAAACTATCCTGTGTCTATTCTCTGCCCTGTGCTCCACCTTCCCCTCCCTCCCCTCACCCCACCACCACATCCCAGCAATCAGCAAAGAATCCACCCCCCTTTAGTATGGGTTCTTTTTCTTAGTCTTTTACAGTAGTGGTCCTATGCAGTATTTTTCCTGTTGTGACTGACTAATTTACTCAACATAATGTCCTCAAGGTTCATCCATGTTATGTGGTAGCTTGCAGCTTCCTTGTTATTTTTCAAGGTAGCATAGTATTTATTGTGTGTATGTACCACAGTTTGTTTATCCATTCTTCAGTTGATGGGCACTATGGCTGTCTCCATCTTTTTGCTATTGTAAATAGTGCTGCTATGAACATTGGTGTTTATATATCTTTTTATGTTGTAGCTTGTATTTCTTGTGGGTAAATACCAAGTGGAGTAATTGCTGGATCATAAGGTATTTCTATTTTCAACCTTCTGAGGAAGCGCCATATTGCTTTTATGCTGGAATGTTTTGATTGCACCATCATATTTGATTGACAATTTTGCTGGATAGAAGATTCTTGGTTGGCTTTAAAAAATTTTTTTTTAGGGTTTTATATATGTCTCCCCATTGCCTTCTTGCCTGCATGGTTTCTGCTGAGAAGTCAGAGCTTCATCTGATTTGCTTGCCTTTGTAAGTAACACTTGTCTTTTCCCTGGCCGCTTTTAGAATTGTCTCCTTGTCTTTGATTTTGGAGAGCTTGATTACCATATGTCTTGGTGATTTTCTACTGGGGTCTGTCCTTCCTGGGGTACGTTTTGTTTCTTGAATGTTTATCATCTCATCTTTCAAGACGTTAAGGAAATTTTCTTCCACAAGCTCTCCAATTATCTCCTTTGTGGACTTCTCTGATTCTTCCTGTTCTGGAATGCCAGTAATTCTTAAGTTGTTCCTCTTCATGTTATCCAGCATGAATCTTAGACTCTATTCAGTTTTTTAAATCTTTTTTTTCCTGCATGCTCTTCTGTCTTAACAGTATCGAGAGATTTGTCTTCTAGCTTGCTGGTACTGGCTTCCATCTCTTGAATTCTGCTCCTTTCCCCTTTCAGTTTATTGTCCATTTCTGAGATTTTATTAATCATCTGGACCTCTTTTTGCAGGTTTTGAATAGTTTCCAATGCTGTATCGATCATTTGATTGCTCTTGTAGTACTTTCCTGACTTCTTCCTTGTTTTCCTCTACCCCTTTGTGGAGTCTTTGAATTTGTTTCCATATCATTCTTCTGAATTCCAAAAATTGCACTTCCTCTTCTGGAAAGCCTTTGCCTGTCTCCAGCTCCTTTTCTCAGTTACTCTTTTATGTTTTTGGACATGTTTTGAGATCTTTTGTTATGTTTTATTGGTCTTTTCCAGTAGTTATTTGAGTTTTTAATGCTTAAATGGATGTTTGTTGCTATGTTATTAAGCTTACTAGGTGTCTTCTGGTCGATATGATCAGGAGGTAGGCTTCCCTTTTCACATGTAATGCTTAGCAGCTGTTATTGGCTCTTGTCTGAATGGTAGAGTATTATGGGGTATGCTTGTAGCTTGGCTATATGGCCATGATTGCTGTCTCTTCTTGGGTACCATAGGGAGAGAAAGCTCCCACCTCCAGGAAAAATGTGTGATCAAAAGGACCAAAAACAGAAACAGTATAAAAGTAGAGACAAAACCCACCACTTTGAAACAAAAATAAAACTGTGGCTGACTGGCCAGTTGCCTTGCTACAAAGGTAGTGTGTGTACCCCGTAGAGGCCTCCAGCAGTGGGTGGGCGTGTCCGCTAACTCAGTCCCCTCCTCTAGTCACCACTGTAGAGGTGCATAGATAGATATTGAGAAGTTAATGGGAGAAAGATTGTCTACTATTTTTGTCTCTGAAGGTCAGATAGATACCTGCGTGTGCATGGTGTAATTCTCAAGATAGTTGTATCCTTTTATGTTGGGGTTTTACAGATTGTTCATATGGTTTATCTGCCAGGCCTGTTTTTTTCTTGCTGGATATGCCAGAGTAAAAGGTCCCACACAAGTTAACTTTAGGACTGTGACCCAGAGGTTGACATCATAAGCAGCTGCCAAAGAATTTGTCCTTAGGTCCGATATGGCTCTTTCTCTCTGTGCTGTGAGAAAACTGTGGGCTCAATGCTGGACTTTCTTCTTTTTTTTCTGAGGGTGTGTGCCCACCCACCTGAAGGTATCTGGGCTGGGCAAAGAAGGCCTGACAGGGAAGAGGAAGAAACAACGTAGAACTGCCCCCCCGCACCCTCCCCACCCGTACCTCCTTTTGCAAATGTCACTGCACTGCTTTTAGCACAGGTTCCCTGTGCCAGTCTGGCTGTAGCCCCGCCCTCTGAACTCCGCCCAGGTGGGGTGGCCACAGAGGGAGTCCTGTGTCAACAGCATTTCCTAAATTGCAGTATTTTCCTTTATACTGTGACTTTTTTTCCACTGGCATGTGCGGGGAAACTAACACCCTGCACCTTATGCTAGATCCAGAGCTCTGGTGCTGTTCTGTGAAAGCAGCTTCTCTGAGTTTTCAGTCCCTCCCCCATGGAGCCTGTCTTACCTGACTGCCTCAGCTGCCACCAGAACCAGAAGCGTGTCCAGTATGTTTCTGCACTACCAATATACTGCCTTTTCTCTGACGCTGCTCACCAAAGTTTAAGATGGCCATGCTACCTCTGAGTCCTTTTTTCTCACTCTACGTCTCTTCAGCTTTCTGTCCTAGTAAGTATTCAATTCACTTCTCTGTCCCTTCACCTGAAGCTCAAGGCTCCTGTACTATCATCTGCACTGTTACAATTGGCTTTCCTCATCTTTGTTGTAGAGGGTCTATAAAACGTTATTGCCTACTCCACCATTTTTCTCATTGGGTGAGTACAGAACAAGTATAAAGGGATTTTGAAGGACTTAGCAGTAGCTACATTGGTATTTTTTATTGTTGTTGTTGTTGTTATGTGCCGTGGAGTCGGTTCCGACTCATAGCGACCCTGCACAGGGTTTCCAAGGCTGTTAATCTTTACGGGAGCAGAATGCCTCATCTTTCTCCCGTGGAGCAGCTGGTAGTTTTGAACTGCTGACCTTGCGGTTCACAGCCTGATTCGTAACCACTATGCTACCAGAGACTTGGTAATAAATCATTACACATTAAATTTATGTTTTGCTCTTTTTCTCCCTGTTTCTGTGATATATTTGGAGTCCTGGTATGGTGTTGCAGGATAAGCACTCAATCATAAGGTCAGTTTGAACCACAAGGCTGGTGTTTCAAAATCAACAGCCACTCCTCAGAAACCCAATTCAGGGTTGCTGTGAGTCAGAACCAACTTGACAGCACTTAACAACAACACACATGATATAGCTTACAATAAACAACAATATGATAGAATAGATGTTATGACAGTCAATACCCTTTGCTAAGGATTAGGTAAAATTTTAATTATTTCATGTGTTGTGATATGTAACATTTGGAACAGCCCCATACGAGCTGCACTGGCACCATACTCATTTTACATATAAGAAAGTTACAGTGGTGACTTTTGGAATGGCACCCAACTAGCAGGAAGTAGAACAGATTTGAGCCCAACCCATCTGAGAAAACGGCATAGTTTGTTTTCATGTTTACTCTTCCCAAATAATTGAGATATTTTGAAGAATTTCCATATCCTTATATCAGAAGGAGGAAGTAGGACTAATTTTTGACAATGCTTCCAAGTCAACATGGGCAGAATGAAAGCATAGTAGGCTTGAAAATTCCATGAACACAGATACTATTGTTTATTCTCCAGGGCACGATGATCTGGGAAAGTCCAGTCCAGTCATCCTATATCAAACTTATGACAACCCTCCCTCAGAAGCATCTCGCATTCACTGTGGATATGGAGGGCACAATCAAAGTGTGGAATTGTTCAGATGGGGATGCTCTAGCTGCCTACACCATGTCTCAGCGCTGTTACTCCATGGAAGCTTTTCTCACAAAGGGTGGTCCATTCCTGATGGTAAGTTGAACTCTTGAATTTGAAGGGAACCCAAAAAACAAAATGGCTGTCTCCTTGACAGATGTTAAGGGCTAATTACTGTTATATCACAATCTACATTCTCAAATGAGTATTTTCCACATACTCTGAGGGTTAGTCACAGTATACCAATGAATGCTGACCTTACAAACCTCTGTAAAACACATAAACAAAACACAGATGCACAGAGCCTGAGGTGCTTGAGGAGAGGTGGGGAGGCACAGACACCTCCCTAACTAATTTTATATCTATATCCTTTCTATCAGGTGTATATTATTGTGCAAAATATGAACTTGAACAGTGGCAATAGAGGAAGAGATGTGGGTTTGGGGAGACAGTAGAAAAAGTAGAGAGTATCAATGTCCTACTGAACTATTATCCTTGAGAACGAGGACTTTGGAGCTTAGAAAGTCTTACTCTATTATGTGATTGTGGAGAAAACAGTGGCATATCTTGTGACTGACAGATCTGCTTCTTGTGCACTTGAAGATTTTCTTAATTTTCACTGATAATGTTTGTGATGGTTTGTTTCAGGTGGGTGATCGTGAAGGTGGGATCTACACATTTACAGTGCCTGATTTAACATGTATTTCTAGTGTTAATAAACTTAGATATCCTGTTGAACTTCTGGTCTGCTCTCCTAACCAGAAATGGATCTTTGCATGTGGATATGATGAACATGTCTTTCCAATGGTAGGTGCTGTACTTTATGCTTTAACTTTGGGTGTTTTGTGTTGAGCATCAGGATGGTTAAATTTGGAGAGGTATAAGAGAAACAAAAAAGCTCAGTGAGACCCAGATAAACTGTTTCCTTACCTCAGGCCATGTCATTCATACTCAGAAAAAAAAGTTCTTTGACATGATAATATTCCAGTTGCAAAGGGAAATTTTGCTCTTGAAGCCTGAAACAGCCAGTGAAATGGAGGAGGATAAGAGTGGTATCAAGGAATGAGGATCATTGGTAACCTTGTTTGCTTTTGAGAACCTAATTTTTATTGGTCTTGGTTGGAAAGTACAAAGAGGTTCAGCAGTAAATAATCAGTCTCTGAATGGCACTCGGAGAAAACCTTAGCCTTTAATGACCAGGTTATTCTTAGTATGATGCACATGGATTGGGCATCAGAGAACACGGAGCTAAGAAGGCAGGCACCAAAAGCAAAACAGCCCTTGAATAACTGTCTAAGAAGGAAAAATCTTAGTTAGCCTGTCGGGGACCTGCCTCGACATAGGGGTTCGGTTCACGAGGAGGAGATAACTGACGGCGATTCATATATAGCAAGAATACACAGAAGGAGACAAAGAGAGAGAGAATGAGGCACCCCAAAGCCAGGGTGGATACATCACTGGTGGGCAGGCTTGGGAGTACAGGCATCGTGGCCTCTGCAGGCAGCAACTCACTGCCCTGCCATCTTTACTGCGTGCCTTCCAACCAGTAATGCACACCTGGGGAGGTCCGGGCCTCTGTTTGATTTAGGGGAGGAGCTTCACACCAAGCTGGGAGGGACAGGCAAGGTGCAGCTAACATCAGTACTTTTCCAGACATTCAGGTAACTTTACATCGTACTTCGCTGGTTCGAATCCCAGGCTAGCAACTTGGTTTCTCAGGCTCAATTAACATATCTATATCCCCTGAGGTCAGTTGGGGGAAGGTGAAAGGTAAGGACAAAAGCTTGGGCGGAGTCCTGCTGTTTAAGCTTCCTGAGCCAGGCTGCACCTGGAAAAGGATTAGGGAGGATGGGTTCTTTGTCTATAGAACAAAGAACCGAGAAGTAGCTAAGATACTTTTAGTTAATCCTTTTGGAGAAAGGCTTGACCTCGCAACTTTTAGTCTTAGGCTTTAGGAAAATATCACATTTATCTGTGGATTATCAAGAGTTCCGTGTATTAAATTAATACATGTAACAATATTAAGATGAAATACAATTTGCCATTAACTGCCAGTGGCCTTATTTGTTACACTCGGGCCTATAGGGCCTCGAACCTCTGACCCGTCTTACATGGTCCGCAACATTAGCCTAAAGTTGATCAAGGGGTCAGTGTGGCAATAAGATACTATAACTCCTTGGCATGCCAGAAGAGATGTTTCAGGGATTCCTGTGTTTATCTGTGAACAAAACTGAGCCATGTTTCTCAGTAGTTTGACCATTATGTAATGATGGAATTTGGCAGTATATCATGATATAATTTGGTGGTTAGGTAATGCTAACATAATTTTCACATAATGTCAATTTACATACACCGGCCTGGTCTTTGGAACATAACCAGGTCAATAAGTGTAGAATGGGCATACCCATCTCTTCCTCAGATGTCAAATAATACAGTTTGGCTACAGATGAAGATTTTTAAGTAGGCTTTCTTGGTGTCTCTTTGGTACTGAAATGCTGTAACCACCCTTTTCACCTGACTCCATGTGCAACTCTTTCCTTAGGTATTTCTCACAGAGTGCTTACTGAAACCATCAAAAGACGACGTCCCTCTGTCTCTCTGTATCTCCTCTCCATGGTGCTGGAGAGCCTGCTGGGCTCTAAAGAAGACAAACAGGATAGCAATGATCTTCAGAAGAGACTCTAGCAGAAGGATACGATTTACCACTTTTGACTTTACAACTGAGTGTTTGGTTGGCCAAACAGTCATCCAAGGTATGTATGTCACTTGAGAAACACCTGTTTCTCTTTTTACACACATCCATGATAAACTTTAGCTAGGAAATAATTCATGGTTGTTGGACTCTAATGTCTATGGTTTTGACCCATCCACTCCCTACTGTCTTAGGCCTATTTAGATTCCCATGATACTTAAGAGTCTAGATTCCAATGATTATCCCCATTACAGACCTCACTCAGTGTCTGTCTTCCTCACTCCTGACTTTCTGTTCTTGTGTCATAGCACCCAAATCATTACCTAGTACATGTATTTTTCAGAGAACTGGCCTACCCTTCATTTTCCTCACTGGATTGAAGGCCCTTGAAAGTTGACAGTATATTTTTATGTTCAGTATAAAAATACTATGAGCACTGGTGTTGCACTATAGGATAAGCGCTAAACTGGTAACAGAAAGGTTGGCAGTTCAAACCCATCAACTATTCTCAAACTCTATAGAGGGTTGCTATGAGTTGGAATTGACTTAACAGTACACAACAACATACGATTATTGTCCTGAAAAAATAATTAAAAATTTACCTGTGTGCATCTCTGTGTTTACATATTTTGCATGACAAAAGCACACGAGATTGCAAGTTTCATATTACCAATTCATATGGATGCTCCTAATCATTTTGGAATCAATGATGGAAATATGATTGTCTTTGAAAATGGGCCAAAGTTATTCATCTTCACCATCAATGGTCTCCTGCTACAAGAAATTAGAGCCCACCAGTTGAACATCTGTCACTTATGGGTGGTATGTATATGGTCCCTTTCCACTCTCTGCTTACTACTCTGAATTTGACATTTTGTCCACTTACTCCTTGTGTCCTTTGAAGGATCCTGTCCACATTCTCACAACATCCATGGATAATTCTCTTCATGTATTCATGTGGGAGAAGGAAGGCCGCTATCCATACCTCAGGAACTGCTGTCAGCTGGAACAAGTGCCAGGTGATCAGAAACCAAGCTGGTAAGGCCCATTTTGTGACTTAAACTTTCCATGAAAATTTTAGATTTCTGTATAAAAATGAATGGAAGGGTAGAGTGTTTCTCAAGACTTTTGCTGGTTTAGATGAGCAAGCTTATGCCAGAAAAAAGAATAGCTGGTTCATGGAGAATACCCTGAGCCATTTCTATAAATGCCAAAAATCTTTTCAAAGTGATCATCGATTATACTCCATGGAAGATACCATCCTTGGCAACTAGTTTCATTTATGAGACTTGCTTTTTGTCTGTGTGTATTAGTCATTTTTAATTGTTTTTTGAGCTGCTTTACCTCTATTTCACTAATTTTTCTTTTGGATTGCTTGCCTTCACCTCAATTTTTTTTTAAAAAAAAGCATCTATTGACTGCAAAGTGGGCTTGACAGCACTTAACAACAACAACATACACTGTACAGAGAATTCTTGTCTTTCACATATATTTTCTGACAGAGTGTATTCTGTCCTGATGTTTATAGTGCTTTTTGGTAATATCTGATCAAACTACAGTACATACAATACATGCATTTGTGGTTGTCAAACGTTACAAGTTACTTAATTGCCCCAATATGAAAGATGGTTGGAATTATTATGCTAATAGAATGTTATACATATGTTACAAAATAAAATGAAAATAATTGGAGAAATGCCTATGTTTAGATATGCTATTTCCAGTGCTTTTGGAAGAGAACTTATTTTAGTTAAATAAATAAGTCTGATAGACTTTTTTTGGGGGAGGTTTATAAAAGTCCTTTTAGAAAGTCACTTTAAAAAAAAACAAAAAACAAAACTTTATAAAGAAAAAGAATAATTTGCTTTGTATGTCTCAAAAACAGAAAACATGAGCAATGCCAACATGCTAAACAATAAAGAGTTCTTTTTCATTTTTTTACAAAATAAAAACAAGCAAAACATACACATTCTTAAAAGGGAACTCGGGAGCAAACACACAATCCTGGCAACCCTTCAATCAGAGCAGTGCATGAATTGGTTTTGTTTTTTTTTGTCTATGCTGATGCATGCAGAGAATGGGATAGGTACAATTAAGTGTCACAAAGAACCATCACAATTCTACCGATGCATGTTGCATCTATAATTCATGAACATGGTCAACAAAATCACTTCCAATCAAAAGATTTCCTTTCAATTATTTAAATACTTCCCTCCATACCACATTCGCACCAGTAGTGTAAGAGACTCCCTATTTCTTATGAGTTTATGTCTTCTAGTCATATGGGTAGGAGTAAGGAGTGACGCTTAGTGTTAGGACTATGGCTAGATAGACACTAGGCCTAGAACTTCCTTTATTGTTGGGTATGGTTAGGACTGGACTTCTGGAGTGATGCTGTAGGATTAGCAAAGTCTGCAGTTCAAACTCACCAGCTGCTTCTTGGAAACTCTATATAGAGTGGCTGAGTTGGAACAGAGTCAACGGCTCTTAACAATGGTTAAAACTTGAAATCTTCTTGACTTCCTCTTTATTCAGAAGCTTTGCAACTACATTATTCCATCTTTTAATTTTATGTTTTTGTTTATTGCAACTGTATCTCTGAGTTTTTATTTTGTCTTTTAATCTTTTTAAAACTTTTTATTATGAATTGAGTGAACGTTTACAGAGCAGATCATCAGTTTTACATTTAATACATCATATACTTCATCAAAATGATTGTGCAACCCCTTCTTGTACCATAAGGTAACAGTACTTGCCTCTATTTATTTTAACTCTTGTACACCTCCCTGCATCTCCTACCTGTAACCATCGTTAGCAAGAAAATCTTTTCTGAACTTTTTATAATAGTGGTCTCATACAATATTTGTCCTCTAGATTCACTGTTCTTACACATTGTGTAGTAGTATTTCATTGCATGTATGTATCAACGTTTGTTAAACTATTTTTCTCTTGATGGGTATTTAGGCAGCCTCTATCTTTTTGCTATTGTGAATAGTACTGCAATGAACATGATGTGCATATATCTAGTTGTGTCAAAGCTCTTATTTCTTGAGGATATCTACTAAGTAGAGGGAATCCTGCATCATATAGTGTTTCTGTTTCCAACTTTCTGATGAAGCACCATAGAGTTTTCTACAGTGGTTGCACCATTTTACAGTCCCACCAGCAGTGTAGGAGGGGAGGGTCACAGTCTCTCCACACTGTCACCAGCATTTGTTATTTTCTAGTTTTTGTAACCTTATTATTAATGCTGGAATAAGATGATAATCTCACTGTGGTTTAGATTTTCATCTCTGTGGGTTAAATGCAGAAGACTGAAAAGCTGTTTGAAATGCAAGGTCAGTGGTTCAAGCTCACCAGCTGCTCTTCAGAAACCCTATACATGGTTGCTATGGGTCAGAACTGACTCAATGGCACTTAAACAACAACAACAAATGCTAATGATGTTGAGCATATCTTAATATGCTTGTTGACCACATGAATGTTGTCTTTTGTGAAATGTCCACGTCCTCTGTTTTTAAAATAGAATTATTTGTCTTACTGAGGCACTGAAGTGTTCTATAAATTTTGGAGAGTAATCCTTTGTCTGATACGTCATTGCCAAACATTTATTCCCAGTTTGTGGGTTCTCTTTTTATTCTATTGCTGAAATTCTTTGATATACATAAGTGTCCATTTTTAGGGAGTCCCAGTCATCTGATTTGTTTTTTGCTGTGTGTGTTTTCAGTTATGTTTGATAGTATATTTATGCCATATATGAAATTTTTTCATTGATCTTTAGAATTCTAGGCTTGACATTTTGGTCTTTAATCCATGTTGAGGTCATTTTTGTATATGGTATGAGATGTGGCTCTTAATCCACTGTTCTGCAAATGGATTTCTAATCTTGCCAGCACCATCTGCTGAAGAGACCATCTCTTGCTCAATGCATTTTGGCCTTTAGACGATGAACTGATTATATATAGGTAGATGGATTTGCTTCTGGTTTCTCAATTCTGTTCAGTTCATTTATGTGTCTTTTGTTGTACCAGTACCAGACTGTCTTCTGTTTTGGTGACTGTAGCTATGTTTTTGTGTTTTGTGTTTTGAGATCAGGAATGGAGAGGTTGCTTTGGACACTGTTGACAGTTTCGACAACAGTAAAGTCCATAAGTTTTTAT